AAAGTAATGATAATTCAATCTTGATCACTGTTCATCACAAAGATGAAGATTACAATACAATTACGCGCTCTTACAGTTAGGAAACATTTTATTTACGACGGAACAATGGAAGAAGGAGTAATCGGTTGGCCGATCGCCCTGCCATTGGTCCCGTGGTAAATTTTTCGGGTTATTCCTCTGACCGAAAAAGGAAGCTTTTCCCCTTGACAGTTGAATCAAAGTGGCTGAGAGCCACTGAACGTGGAAAATAAATTATGAAAGGGTGTAATGAGGCATTGCTCATTAAGGAACTACTTGTGATGTGAGGGCAGTCTAGCTTTCGAACAAGCCCATAAAGCCTCTCACCATTCAAGAGTGTGTTGTGATATTTGCAAAATGAAACAGTTCAATGTTAAGAAACTATTTGTTACTCAGGCCTACCTACACGGTTTACATTACATGCATCTGTACACGTTTTCCTAGTGTTGTAGTCAACAAGGGCAAGATTATTTTGTTCGATCAAAAGTGATGTATAGACTAGGAGTAATGTCCAATGCTTGCTTATAGCCAGCTCTAAGTTGGCTTAAGATTGTTCGACGCAAGCATTGATTTCGTTCTTTGGTAAAATTCGAGAAAATCCTTTGTGTTAAGGTGGCTCATAATAGTTTCCAGCACTTAGATTTTGATGGGTCATTATAACCACTCTTTATCACTTGATGCTACAATCATGGTATCAAAAAAACTGCCCAATCATTGGTGAACACATTGTTATCATTTCCATGACACAATAGGTTACCATAGCAACAGTATGACCTGCTAAAAACACCCTTAATTACAGCTTTAAGGGCCTATAATTAAAAAACGGCTCGGTGAATTTTTTTTGTAGTATCAAATTTTATAAGCATGCTAAGACGCAACTCTTAGCAAAGTTTGAAAAATTTCTGTACAGAGGGTTCAGAGCCACCTTAAAAGTTTTGAAAATTTAAGGTGGCTCTGAACCCTATGCAAAGAATTGATAAATAGTGGTTATAACAACCCACCAAAATCTAAGTGCTGGAAACTGCTGCCACCTTAAATT